GAAGAGCTCGGAAGGGGAGGTTGCGAAGCCTTCCGCTAGTGCATTGAGGCCGGAGGCTCCTGCATTCACTCCTGCAAGCAAGAGGAAGGAGCAGGTTTCGGGAGATCGGGAAAGCAAGTCTGCTATTTCTGAGGATTGGGAAAGTGTTCCTGTTTTGCCATCTGAGAGTGCTTCACTTGCACCCAGTTACAGTCAGGTTGCTGGATCTAGCTCTCAAACGGTTTTTGTTACTCCTGTGAGGAGAATTGTTGGATCTAATTGCGTGCTTGACTCTTGGCTTTGACATAGTGTGGATGTTGTAAGATCAGTGTCGGTTTGTGTGGATATGTCACGTGTCTGAGGTCGGTTCTGTTCCAGGGGCTTGGTTTGCTTAGTCGACTGGATGCTGAGAGAAGGCAAAGCAGCCAACGGCTGGTTCAGATCCCAATTCTGATCATCTATACGAGCACTCAAATTGGGGAGACTAGTTCGCGAGGACTCACTTGTGTCACCAGCTACTTGAGCGGGTTCTAGAAACCGGTCTTCGATTGTGAAGACTTGCATCAACGGGGACGAACGAGCAAGTGCGCGGTCAGCTTGAGTTGATCGAGGTTGAGGGTCCCTACTCTGGATCGGGTCGGTCTGGGGTGTCGCGAATCTGAACGCTTGATGAATTGGGTTCTGGTATGCTGGAGCTGATTGGGTTTGAGTGTCTTGATCGGATGACGGAATGCGATTGACAAAGCATCGTTTGAAGTCTTTGTAAAATTGTTGCCAGTCTCGATTTTGTGGTGGCTGAAAAGGCCATTTGGTTAATAGGCCTGCGAAGCTATTCTGGGCGACTTTCAACAACTGTTTTCGGCTAATATTATAGGTACGTTTCAATAGGAGCAAACCGTTAAGCCAGATGGCTGCTTCGTTTACACTCAGTACTTCAGTGAACGGTCGGTAAGTTGGAAGCATCTCACTTGATTGGTCCATGAGTCGGTGCTGCTACTTGGAGTGGGTGGTTCTGATGTGGTGGTGGAGAAGAACGTCTGCGGCAGTAACTCGACGCTCAAGTCTAGTTGAGTTGGTGATGGGTTAAATGCAGGGAAGATGTCCCAAAACTGATCAGTCGGTTGGGTGGGATGTCGCTTTTGTGTTAGTCAAAGCTGAATATTGTGCGCACACGCGCCAAGGAATACGTCTGACAAGTCGTGTGCGGTGGTAAAGGGGACAGGGCAAAGAGTCTCCAGGGAATACGTCTGGTGAGCTCCCCACTGTACAAGCTCGGGAAT